TTTTCAGCTCATTCATGCTGAAAGCAATGGATAAGGTATTGTGGTGGAGACGATGTTGACGGAAGTTGTATTCCGTGGACGGAAGTTGCATTGTGGGCCGTGAACAGAAGTAGTCTCGCACGCTATCCCTCCCCACTTAGTGAAAGTCAAAATTAATTTCGATGAAGCTAAAACACTCACGTGGAAAGAAATAAAATGTTTGTATGGTGTAATAAAAACAATAACCTTAAATCACATGTCTGAACTTCTAAAAATGCAACTTGAATCGAGAAGCCGAAATGGTCACATCCAGGGGACAGGTAGCGGGTTCATTTCAACACACGCTGTGACCACGATCGGAGGCAGCCATATTGGTTAGCCGCGCATTTGCGTTCGTCTTTAGTTGGTATAAAGTAATCACTGCTCTGTTATTGTGCTTGTCCTCGGGAGTTCTTCAACATACAATCCACATATCAATCATAGCGGCTAAGATAATCTCGCTAATTTTTTTTTCCGAGTGTACACGTCTACCCTCTTCACACGGTTCGCGTTTCACTTTAGATCGTAAACAATCTTTTCGAGATTCGTAATGTGCCTCCACTCAGTTATGTTTATTTAGATTTTTTTTTTACTTTAGGGTATGACTAACAGCCTCAACACAATGTTATTCGGGGCTTTCTTTTTACGTCCACAAGTATTTCCTTCCAAGTTGAAATGCGAGGTTTGTGACGGCAAATTCCCTAAGTATTTCTATGACAGACTGGGGCATACTTGACCGTGATTACAGCGTTTCAGTCAATGTTTCAGCTAGCTTCTACGCTTTACATAAAATAATTCATCCCGTTTCACACCAGATCGTTAACAATCTTTTAGATATTCGCAGTGTGCCTCGACTCAATTTATTTCGAATTCAAAAGATTGTACTGAAGACATCGTTACTAGGTATAGGGCGTATATGCAGTTCTTTTATCCTTCCAGCGCCTGATCAACTCCTCGTCCTTCAAATGAACTGATTTTAAGTACCTGATAAAGAAACGTACGCTCGTTGCCACTTTGGAAATCTGTTGTATTCACATTTGTCTCACTTGGTCAGGCAGATGTTTGTAATGCATCGTCACGGCAGAATTACAAATAGTGTTAAATATGTTCGAGAGTGGCTGCGAATGACATTGCAGTGAAAGACATGAACTCCAAAAATGGTGCCATTTAAATGCATCGTTGCAAGAATAAAGTGTAAATGGAGGTTTTTTATTGAAACTTGCAGTCTTCCTACCTCCAAATTACTCCGCGTCCTCTTAATAAATTAATTTGATGTATTCGATCAAGCAACTACCGATCGAAGCTATTTTACTTCCAGTTGAATATTCTCTCTCATATCCCTTCTTATTTTTGAGGTCTACAAAGGTGATTTTTGATCTAGGATAGTGCAAAAGGAGGGGAAAACCACCGTCCGGTTCGCATCAGACGCCATTTTTTCTCCTTACATTCGAGAAAAAATCCTCTCTTTCCAACCCTTCAGATATATAAACATTAGACAAGTGCAAGACTATTTGAAAACAGTTAAATTCGTTACGAGAGGTAGGAGATGATGCTTACTTGGATTTCACAGATGCTCTTTATGGTTCAGAGGGCGATTTGTTGCTGAACGCCGAAAAAAATTACGAAGGCCAAACCTTTACCTGGCCTTTTGCTCTTTGGGCAAGCCCGGGCAATAGGGACCCAACACCTAAACAAGGGGTTTGGTTTTGTTACAAAACTAATGTTAAAATGTCATTTTTCCCAACAGTTTGGGACTTGTCCCCCACGTCTACGTCTTGAACTGGCTCGACCAGTTCATCTTTTACATCAAAATCGTCGTGTTCAACAGCCTTATCTTTGTTTTTGATAACGTTAGTTGTCTTTGTTTTTTTAAAGTGGTTTCTATATTCCTCTTCGATCTGTTCATACCCTCCCAAACGATGGCAGCATCTGCGATTCAGGGCATTTCTAAAAGCAGGAATATGCCACCACATACATAGAAAACAAAGCATGATGACGATAACTACTACAAGAACTGGTAGCAAAATGTACAGCTTCCAATTAAACAACTTTGAACCTGAAATTAAAAAAGGTCTTAATTAATTCAGGTTGAAATTGTTTTTGTTTTCCTTATCAGAGCACTTTCTGCTGGATACGTTAACCATGCGGTACCTTCCACGCTTTTGTGGAATAAATGTTTCAGGCGTTAATGCCATAAGGTAAACGTTCATCGAAAGGAGAAAATAAAAGTAATTAAGAAGGCGAAGAAAAATATTCTTCAAATTTGTCATTTTTTGGTGTATGATAGAGCACACGTGTTAAAATAGTGTTTTCACCGTAAGCAAAGCGAACTCAATCGTCGGACATTTTTTCCGATTTCAGTAAAAATACGAACGTATTTCCCAAATAATAATTAAAATAGCAATGACAATTCTAATAGTGGCTTTAGGGTAGAAGCTATGATTGACCAAAGGCAACCTTAAAGATACTCTCAAGTAGAAAGGAAGTTTCTTTTCGTTGCATTAAGCAAAGTATCGATGAGATACAGATCAATACAAAAAGTAGCATAACCTACCATGAACATTCACCGTACCACTAAAAGCATTCCAGTTCTGACTGAATTGACGATTTATCATTTACATGGTCTGAATGCGGTTTTCCTCGTAGTGATAATAGAGATTGACAACCGCCAACATGCAAAATTAGGATCTTGGATTTTATTTTCTAAATGTAAGGACAAT